ATAAGAGATTTTGAACCAGACCTGGTTTTAATCTCACGAGATCAACTTGCCATTTGAGGCAAACCAGTTTAAGTAACATCAAAGACGGACAGTAGGTAAAGAAATAAGGCTGAAGGCAAGGAATCAAGAAATGATTCCATTTCTGGCCGGATTTGAAGGAGAAATGGTGACGGCGGGGTAGGGTTTGAGAGGGTGAGAGGTGAGGACAAGAGTGTTTGAAGTCGGCGGAGACAGGATAATGGGGATTAGGGTTGGGTTTGGTTAAGTTTAAAAGGGTGGATGTAGTGTGAACCGTTGATCTTAGAGATCAACGGTCCTGATTTAAGGGGTTTCTGGGTCGGGTGGTTTAATTGGGTATGGGTATGGGTTGAACGGGTATGGATATTGGGCTGGTTAATGTATTGGGCTGGGGTAATTGGATTAGGCTAGGTTCGAATTTAATTAGAAAAAGGGCTAGGTTTTAAATACTCAATTAAATTAATAAAATACCTTATAAAAATAAATTAGTAAATGATAAAAAATGTCATTTGTGCATGAAAATATTTTAAAACAATTACTTAACATTGTAAAAATATAGAAAGTCATTTTTATGTAAATAATGTAATTATGCATATATATGGGCTATTATTGCAAAGCGTGCAATTCTAGCCTTAAAAATGCAAATGTAATTTTAAAAAAATGCAATTAAAATATATAAGCATTATATGGGCATAAATGATGAATTTAGATGATTAAATTATCATAAAAATAATATGAAGGATAATTATTAGATATTTGTATAATAAAAAAAATGCAGAAATAAATTGATTTAAAGCCCTTAATATTATAGGAAAGTCATAAAAACACTTATGCATGTCTGTAAATCTAATAATAATGCATGTGCACTATTCTGAAAATATATATGCATATTTAAAATATATGAGGAAAAAATGGGTATCAACAATGGCATTATATTTGCGTTAGCCATCATTGTGTCATCAATATCATATAATGGGATTCAAACCCAATGTCTTATTATCATGGCGCACCAGGACTTGAACCTGGTGTCTAACCCTCATGGAGCGCTGTGACTTGAACCCACCGTATTACCCTCATATAATATATAACGCAAGTTATTTCATTCAGTTTAAGGAATGTAACATAATTTTGTGTAGCCATAATTTTATTTTTGATCAATTGACATAGTGAAAACTATCATAAATAATCGAATAAATTTACATGATAATTTTTTTTATACAAGTCATAAAGGCGTGTAAACAATTATGAATGACTAAAACATAAGGCGATACTCTAACCGTTCGAGACAAATACATCAATTGGTTTAGATAGACATTTAAGTCACTATTAAAGAGGTACTACATCTTTACGTTAGCATACTATAACTAAAAGATTAAGAATCTGTAAGTATTACTCTAGTGATTGATCAAAGGAAGATGTAATCATTAAATTTATTTATGTTTAGCAGATGTAAGCGTACACGTCAAAGTTACTAATTTAAAAGTTCAAATAATTTAAATTAAAATTTACCCCTAATGCAAACAGGAAGCAGAACATGAGATGACACCATATTCTATGTAATTATTTATCATATTTATATGATACATGTTCGGGAGCAATATTGCACGGAGTCCTTCCAATTGTTGATCAGAAACTTGAGAAGGTCCATAAAACGGTATAAGCAAATGAAAGTGTACCTGCATTGGAGAGAAGGTTAACTAATACTTTTAGCAAGAAAATAGAAGCCGGGGCTGAAGCACATAATCTCTGTTGGTAAGAGACTCTAGCTAATAATGTATTAAGAAATCAGAGAAAAATAGAATAATGGAGACAAGATATATATAGGAGAGAATGTAAAAGTTATCTTATTCAAGTGTGTTTCTTGTGTGTTCTTCCATAGGCAAAGAGTTTCCTATTTATAGTATATAAAATACATCCAAAACTAATTAGACACATTCTAGGAATTATTAGGTACAGGATTCGGCTCTTTAGTACCGAGTTCATCTGAACCCAATATTTACGATGCGGAGCATAAATAATTATGTGTTAGAATTCACTATAATTGCAACAAATAATAGATATGAACCCATAACTTTAAAAATATAATGGGAATGCTAAAAACCATAAAAGGTTGAACTCATAAAGTTTAAATTCTTAATCCGCTTTTGCCCTCCCTATCACCTGTTAATTTAACTTTATACTTCTTGGTGCTGGAAATTAAACATCATTGCTTATTGTATTGAATTCAGTTGGTTAATGATGTGTAACTGAGGAAGAGGTGAATAAATGAATGCAAATTAAAGAGCTATCGGAGCACAGTAAAAACTTATGTGCACAAAGTATTTACACCAAATTCATACTAATTTACCATGATAAAGTGGTAAACTAAGGTAAAAATATGTATTATTTAACTATGATTTTGTAATAGCCAATTTATGAAGACATGTATCATAAATTAATTGTGCTGGGTGTAAACACTCACGCGGGTAAATATTTTCTTTTCCCGAAGCACCCTCCTATTATTGTTAGCTTGTCATCTCTTGCACGTGCTTTGTCATTACTCTGTTAATTTTGACTACCTCTTTTCTTTTATTACTATCATTTCATTGGCTTTATTTCTACACACCTAAATTAAAAAACGGCAACTTCTGAATCGTCCCCATATATTATGTCATTTTGGTTAGTCTAACTTTACCACCCAAACACATTATATGGAAATATTTCCTCTCGATTCTAATATATATATATATATATATATATTTGGGTTATGATAGACCAAATATTTTGGAGATAAAACGTGAATTGTTGATCAAGTTTAAGTTTAAAGATTGCTTTACAATTATTAGATCTGTCAAAACTGATTAGCCCAGCTCAACCCGACCCAAGTTTCGCGGGCTTTAAATTTGATGGGTTAGACCGGTCGGCTTACCATCTGAACGAGCCTTAAAATGCACAACCCAACCCAGCCTTAAGATTGTCGTGGGCTATAGCGGGCCTCCCCTTCAATTTTTCAGAAAAAAAAAATTCTTTGAATTTTTAAATATTTCTTTGTGATATAGTTGCTTAATCATGTGAACAATTTCTGTTTGCTTAGAGCATACAAGAAGCTTTATATTTGACAAGGGATCTCGTATTGAAATGCAAATTCTCTACATCTCTAGCTCTTTTATTTTAGTGTTACATGAATATTTTTTAATACTTTTCTTTCAACTTCCTCAAGTTCAGGGATTACTTTAATAAGTTTTTATGCTGAGGTTTTTTAATTTAAGTTTCACATAATTTGGTGATTTCATCATTATAGTCCACAAATTTTTTAAAATTCATGAAACTTGCTAGTGTTGTTAACTTTTTTGGGCATTAAAAATTAATGTTTTTTCTATACTGAAGAGTAGCTTAATTATTAGTAATATATTAAAGTAATCCAAACTGATCATTGGCCACTTAAAGTAATATTTTCTTTTGAAAAAAAAAATACTATTGGTCACTAAAAACTTTCCTAGTTCATTGTTAATTAAGCAAAAGGAAAACTGATCTTATCATGCTATATGCATATCAAAAATCTAAATTCTTATTGATATGAATGGGTAAATGAACAATTTAGGGTTGGGGAGTGAAGATTATTTAATAGTTGTATTTTGTTTTTACTTTTTTAAAGTATGAATTATTTAAATTTGAATATAAGCAATTTTTGGCCCACAGGCCGACCTAGACCCAACCTCAGTCAAGTCTCAAGGGCCGACGGGCTAACTTGGGCCGATCTTATAAGCCTCAATTTAAACGGGCGCAAAATTTTCAACCCAACTATATCCAAATAGCAAGCTGAGTTGAGCTGACCTAAGGGGGAAGCCCATTTTGATGGAGGAATCTTAAGTTAAAATAGCACGGTATAGCCAGTTTTCGGACTGGTCGTTCAAAAATAGCCAGCGTTTACCAAGTCAATGAAAAATAGCCACTATTTTGCTGCAGCAGAGACCGGTCCAGCATAATATACTAGAGTTCGGCGCACCTGTGTATGAACTCCAGCATATTATGCTGGGCCGGTATACTTGCTGGAACTCCAGTATATTATGCTGGAGTTCTAGTGTACTTATGCTGGAACTCCATCATATTATGCTGGAGTTCCAGCATACTTATCTTGGAACTCCAGTATAATATGCTGGAGTTCAAGTATACTTATGCTGGAACTCCAGCATAATATACTGGCGTATTTTTCCGGGTTTTGAATAGTGTTTTCGCTCAGATTTTTCTTTACATGAAAAGTGGCTAAATTTCGATTACTTTTGAAACTGGGCTATTTTTGAACGACCAGTTGTAAATCTGGCTATTTTTGAATTTCACCCTAACCTTAAGGAAATTAAAGGATAAAGAAAAATAAAATGTCGAACAATATTGCTTGATTTATTACCACCAGAGCTATCTTTATTAGCGTGCCTCACATTCAAAATCTCGTCTCTTCTTTTATTGTAGATTATTGCATCTTATTTGTTATTAAGTGTTCTTAGTGTTATCATCTCTAACCACCCAGGTGTGAATTTAGCTACGTGGATTGTCATACCAAATATTCAACTTGGCAATTTTTTTTATATATATATTTCAACAACATATAATTTACATGTGAATATGAGCAATGTCAGTTATTATCGCAAATACTTCATGTCTAGAAGTTTCTGCCTTGTCTTTAAGAAATTGTAGCCTTCTTCCTTTTACAGTCGCATACATGTCAAGAAGCTGTTGTCGAGTGAATATAAAAATTTGTAGAATTTGTGCAGAAATTCGATCGACATATGTCCCTGTTAGCTTACATGCACTTTGACTATTCCAACAAGCATTTCTTACCTTCCACCAACATGGGCAATAGCGAATTGAACCAATGACTTTACAAATGTATTAAACCCCCTTGACCACTAAGCTATGGTTTGCGTTGTGTCAAGGGGATTCAAAATATATATAATAATATATAAAGGTACAAAACATATTTTGGGATAACTCTTATCCACCAAGGCTTAAACGGAAGGTATACTCCAAATTCTTCTCTGCTCATTGAAGCTTCCAATTACAGCAAACTGCTTTTCATCCCCAAGTCGTTTTGCCAAAACATTGTAATAAGCTGATGGATCCACATTCTCCAATACTTTTACTGCTTTTCCGTGCTCCTTGTCAATAATAATTTCACCATCTTCAGATTCAACTCCTGTAGCACTGACTTTTAATTTCTTCACTTCAAAGGTTGATTTTAGTGCAGAGAGATCTCCAGCTACTACTGCTCCAAGGATCTCACCAACAAACATATCCTGAAACATTATGACTTATAAGTAGAAAAACATCAAGAATAACAAGACAATTATTACAACGATATACACCTCTATATGATATACCCAAACAAATTGCTGGAATATATAACCAAAAACCAGGTGATAGGAAACTACTACAGTGGATAAATTGAGATGAGAATTATATACCAGATGCTGGTAGACATGATGTAATTTTTGCAGGCGATATAACCTTGATATCAAGCGCCTCCTAAATAATGCTTCAGGTGTCCTTGTCGTGTAGAGTCCTTCAAGAATTTGATGGAATGCACTGACTTTCCGTTGTATGCCAAGTGGAATGAGAATGATATTATGTTCAGAACTCAAAACTGTCTTTGCAGCCAAAGGGTCAAGAAACATATTCAGTTCCGCAAATTTATTAGAAGGAACATTGATCACATTTCCCTTCTCTGTGTTATCATGATTGATGTGTCCCCCCACAATTAGTATATCCTGCATCAAAATTCAGAAGATTACCTTTTAAATTAATGAAAATGTCTATGATGAATATCTCAGGTTCTCAACCCATCACGGTCATTGATATGACAAGGATTTATATGGAGATCAACCACAATTGAAAACAGCTATCTAAGCTAAAGGGTAACATAATATGTTCATAATGAAAATTGAGGGAGTTGACTGACAGAGGAAGTTTTACTTATGGGAGGACTAAACTTACCTGAGGGCCTAGAGAAGTTTCCGCTCCAAATTCTCAAAATCGGCTCAGAATGTCTATACTACGATTAGATCCTAACTGAAGAATATTGTCTGAATTCTTTCCTAAATCACCGCAATAATAGAGGAACCACTTGCCTGTATAGCCTTGCTTGTATTCTTGCCTTCCAAAACGATCTTTGCTATATTAGTCAATGGGCCATTGGTTAAAATAGAAATTTTCGATCCAGGATCGAGTGATTTCACCACTGACTCCAATACTTCCGATGCTAGAGGTTGTCTGAGTTCAGGATGATCGGTATCTCGGGGAGCTCCAAATTTTGCAGAATTTTCTGCTGTGTATCTGAAATTATTTAGATCAAGCTGGTATATCAGCAAATTTTTACAGTGCACAATTGAACATGTGGAAGTTGCTAAGATGAATAACATGAAATGCCAATGCTTGGCAAAGTTTACATTTTTCTACATGGATTTACTATAGGCAGATTTAGAGCAGAGAATATACCTCCTAGGACTTCGAGGTAACGAACGAGCTAAACCATAAAGAGTGTCTGAGTCTAGGTATCCACCGCTACCTTGTGGAATGACCTTGTTGTATCTGCAGTTTCCAACGGCAGAGAAAACAGGATCAGACTGGTTCATTGCGAATACATCTCCAAGGCCCACAGGAATGTCATCACGACCCATCATATGAAGCAAATCATACACAGAATCAATTGTTGCAGCATTTGCCCATCCAGTCTGACTCACTAGTATAGCCTGAATGAAAGAAGATATTGCACATCGAAAGGCATTACTTCATAACGTTATGATAATATTGAACTTACATTAGGTTCCACTCTGTTTCTGCAATAGGTTGCTAACAATTCATCAGTTTTATCCCAAGGCTGAACAGAATTGAGGGAATGTAGTTTGGACAAAAAGTTGCACATAAAGTGACACTTACTGATTGAAGAAACTTACTGTAACTACAACTGATGTCTGATCAAGAACTAAATTCTTAATATTTTTGGTTGAGGATCTCATTGACTATAGAAGACTAGCATAAACGGATGGAACAGAACTTATGGAAGGCCATTTACTTTGAGATTGATATCTTCTACAGGTAAATTGAGTAGATAAAAGAGAGCTAGAAAGTCTCCACCGCTCATATCCATATCAAACACAAGATTCTTCCCAAAATGCTTGCCCCGAAAATCCGGTTTGTAAAGTACTTCTCTGTAATAAGGAAATTGTGTTGTAAAATTGAATCTACCAGCATTTTCTGCTTGGTTTAAGACCTGCAACCACAAGGAATATAGCATTGGTCTCTATTAGCTGCTTTGTTAAACTGTAATGCAAAATGTTACAAGCAAACTTCAACTCGGTCTGATTCAGAAAGAGGCATGTACAAACAATTCAGACAGCGAAATTAGTTTTAAAACTTACATTAAGAAAGCTGACATAGAACTCTCTGTCTAAAACACTGCTAGCGTTTCGATTAGGTTTTGCTCTTACAGCAACAAGAACAGGCACTCCTCCTGGTCCAACAACTTCTTTTGTATAACCATCCTAATAATTAGCATCGACTTAGAACAAGTATGAAATACAGAAAGGTGTAAGGAAAGAATATTGATGCAAGAACATAAAGGAAAAGAAGAAACACCATTGTGTCATATCTCATTCTAGTTAATACAAAACATAAAATGTTGTACTTTTTTTGGTAAGAGAAGAAAAATATTTGACATAATTTACAATGATATATTTATATCACTGAAGGACAAGAAGGACGAAACTTTTCCGCAGCTACAACATATTATCTGTTACTAAGATGAGAAAAAGGAAATCATATTTCAGATAGAGACAATCAATCACCTGGCACCTGCCCCTCCCGTTCTTTATTGTGCAAAAAGGATCACGAAGGCTAGTCTGAACATGGCCGCTGTGAACTCCATTTCTTTCTAAGTTGAACCTTGGAGTTATGTTTATTTATTGGGAACTTGATTGTTGCTCAGAAAAATTCTCATGAATTATCTGAACAACAACAAGTTCAAGATCCACCACCACTTGAGGAGCCACATGAAGATCAACCGCTTTACCTGAATCCATTGAAGAAGTGCCTGAACCAATGGGAGTGAGAAAATCCTCAAAAGTTCGAAAACCAGCAATTTCTAGTGACTATGTTGTATATCTCCAAGAGTCTGATTATTATATTGGACTAAAAGATAATCCATGCTCGTTTTCACAAGCCATGAGTGGAGAAAACTCCACACTTTGATATGATGCCATGAAAGAAGAGTTAAAATCTATGGCTAAAAACAAAGTCTGGGACCTCGTCGAATTACCAAAGGGATCCTGTACCATAGGTTCCAAGTGAGTCTTTAAAACTAAAAGAGACTCATCTGGTAAATATCAAACGATATAAAGCCAGACTTGTAGCCAAGGGTTTTACTCAAAGGGATGGCATTGATTACTATGAAACCTTCTCTCCAATATCAAAGAAGGATTTATTGAGAATAATCATGGCATTAGTAGCTCATTTTGATTTAGAGTTACATTAAATGGATGTGAAAACAGCTTTCCTGAATGGAGATCTTGAAGAGGAGGTATACATGCGTCAGCCTGAAGGATTTTGTGATAAGAAGTCATTGTTTGCAAGTTGAATAAATCCATTTATGGGCTAAAGCAGGCTTCCCGCCAATGGTATATTAAATTTCATAATGTTGTTTCTTCATTTGGATTTACGGAGAACATAATTGATCAGTGTATATACTTTAAGATAAGTGAGAGCAAATATATTTTTCTAGTCCTATATGTGGATGATATTTTGCTTGCAACTAGTGATTTGAGATTGTTGCACGAGACTAAACGGTTCCTTATCCAGAATTTTGAGATAAAGGATATGGGTGAAGCCTCTTATGTCATTGGCATAGAGATTCATAGAGACAGATCCCAAAGATTACTTGGATTGTCTCAAAAGGCCTACACTGAAAGAATTCTGGAAAGATTCGGGATGAAAAACTATTCACCTATAGCAGCACCCATAATTAAAGGTGACAAAATCTCATTGAATCAATGTCACAAAATGCATTGGAAAAGGAGCAAATGAAAGATATTCCCTATGCTTCGCTTGTTGGGAGCCTTATGTATGCACATGTCTGTACTAAACCTGATATTGTTTTTGCGATAGGAATGCTTGGCAAATATCAAAGTAACCCTGGTCTTGACCATTGGAAAGCTGGTAAAAGGGTCTTGAGATATTTGCAAGGAACTAAGGATTTTAAGCTCACATACAAATACTCTGACTCATTGGAGATGATTGGATATTCAGACTCTGATTTGGGTGGATGCAAAGACACTGGTAAATCCACTTCAGGATACATTTTCCTTTTTGGTGGAGGTGCTGTGTCTTGGAGAAGTGTCAAGCAGACCATTGTTGCAACATCCACAATGGAAGCTGAATTTATAGTATGCTATGAAGCTACATCACAAGCGTTATGGTTGAAAATTTTTATTTCTGGCCTTAGGATTGTCGAGTCCATTTCAAGGCCATTGAGAATCTTATGTGACAATTCAGCTGCAGTGTTCTTCTCTAAGAACAATAAAGTGGCAGCCGAAGCAAGCACATCGCCATAAAGTACTTGATGGTTAGAGACTGTGTGACGAAGCAAGATGTGAATTTTGAGCATGTTAGTACTACTTTGATGATTGCTGATCCTATGACTAAAGGTCTGCCGACTAATATTTTCAAGGATCATGTAACACATATGTGGCTTAGTAGCTCAATTTAGTCTTCCTTTGCTCTCTAACAGTTTGTCTAGACATTATGTTTATTTTGATATACATGATAGTGCGCACTTTAGGTTTTTCATGTATTATTTGTGATCATTGTCAATGAAGTTGGATCTGAATGACTTATATTAAGTTCATTCAAGTTGTTAGATACTTTGTTAGAATGTATTGCGCATTGTAATACATGGAAGGAAGTGTTTGTTTAAAAGCATGACTACCATGATTCGTGTAATAATATATTCTAGTTAAAGTGATTGTAGCATAACTTTTAGTTGGGTGATAAAGTCTATGGCCATATTATATGTTTATCTCTCATAAAGGATAATCTGATTTTAATATAGGGCCAAGTGGGAGAATGTTAGAAATTTACCGTCTTTCCTAGAGACTTTTAGTGTGGCCCACATATAAGGTAATAAATTAATTACCTTGTCTTCCAAAGGAAATAATAATCAGATAATATTCTGTAGTTATGCATATATGATAGTTTCTTTGATGGAAAGAAATTACTATATATTAAGAGTACTTAGGGTAATTATAATTTATGGAGAAGTCCCTAGGGGTAACGTATTTGCCTACGAGTCCTTAGCATACCTATAAATAGGCATGTGACTCCATCAATCTGGCATCGTACGATAGGCACAGGCTAGAAGGCTCCTAGGTTTTCTATCAAAGTTTTACAAGGTGATTCTATAACACTTGAACAACTATGATTGAAGGTACGTTCCTTATTTAATTTCTGCTGCGTCGGCTCTATGTTTGTATTCGAATTTCAACAACCAAGTCCCGTGCATTTTATTACGGTAATGACTTCTTACACTTCAGAGAAGTTGGCTTTGGCCAGATGTACATCACAGAAATTATTCATTCCATCCACAATGGACAGTCCGTGCGGACTATTCACATTCTGGATGATGTGTTGAGGGCATTTGTTATTGATTTTGGGGGATCAATTTCTACTATTGGTGGAGTTATTGTGTCCTTTGAGAACATAAAATTCTGTAGGTTAATAACTTGAAAGTTTCTTCGATATATATCGAAAATCATGTTAACGAAAAGAAGAAGAATTCTTACATGTACGACCATTATCAAGATTCTTTTGTGAGTTCTACGTGGAAACTAATTTGTTGGGAAGTACATTGAACATAAGTTTTAACTGTTTTCTTTACAGATATTGAATAAAAATTAGCTACTTTTTCACAATTTTCTTGTAACAAATTACAAACAAAAAAAAAAGGGGGCGAGAAAGTGGAGGAACATTTCAGTCCCTTTACTATATTTGTCCTCACGTGTATGATCTTATGAAGGATTCATATGTCAATCCCAACTAGATTTATCGTCGTGTACAACAATATAGAGTTAGTAGTTATGATTGAATAATAAAAGTTTATGAAAAAAAGAAGTATATGACATACATTTAATGACTGGGTGAATGTAAATGTAATTTTTCACAGGAATCTTTCAGAAAAAATTCAATAACACTTGTAATATCAACTTACTAGAGTAATGTACAATACTTCCTTTTCACATAACCATTAACAGTCTCAGTAGATAATGCCCAACCAATAGGATTTGAACTCGTAACACTACAACTTTGACCTATTGGCCCCTTAGGGACAACCAGAGTATAGTAACGCAAATTTACGCATATACATGTGTCTAACATGTCGATAGCAGAACATTTGCCCACGCAGAAAACTTGAGCTTTGCAAATTTCAATCAGCGAACTGCCAAAAAAATATATTTTTCTAGATGCTACTAGCAGTAGTTTAAAATCGCCTCCACCGTCTGGCCAGCGGCTTCACTGGCAATGAGCTTGCACCAGTACCAGGAAATTCCCAGTTTGCAATAATGCCGTCCCACCCGGAGCTAACAAGCATGGGGTAGTATGGATGCCAATTGCAATCTCTCACCGGATCCTGATGGTAATCAAGTTTTGCAACCTGAGCTCCACTCACCTACAAATGGAATGAAAGAAATGCATGATAATCCAAGATGTTATCAAGTCTATTTTTTCCAAACAAAAGTTAATGCTCCCAAAATGCAGCACGCGGAAGCTGGCACAAATACCACCATTATCCCATAGAACAAAATAAAAATATATATGCGAGGTGTGCAGCTTGACCCTCATATATAAAGCATATATACATTGGAAGTAACTATATGAAAGGCATAGTAGACCATACAATTCGTGGGAAGATTGATATTTGCCTTCATGCTCAAAACTACTTAATCAAATTGGAAAACTGCCCGAACCCTGACTAGCTAACTTTTTTCCTATCATTGATCATCAAATTGGAGACATAACATTTCTGACGCTAATCATTTCATGCTTAATCATCAAGTTAGAGAAAATGGAGTCAAGACTATAGTTCCGCAGCTCAGATTATCAAGCCATCAGTAATTGGCCTAAAGATATTCAACCACTCAAAGCTGCAGAAACTCCTAGCTACATGCAGAATGCATATATCCAAGTCCTCAAAAGCAATGAGCAGACTTAGAAAAAAGATTCACTAGCTAATGAACCTAATATATCAGCTTATGAAGTATGAAGCAAGAAAGTAAGATGTTGAAAAGAAAAAAGAGCAGATTAAATAAGGGTATAAAGCTCCAAGCATACCACATCATAAATATAAACAGATGAATCGGCTGATCCAGTGTAGATGAACTTTTGCCCTGTGCTGCAAGATTAAAACTTTAGCAGATTAGACACTCTTCTGCAGATGTCATCAAATAGCAGAATCAAAGCATCAAAAAGCAACACCCTATAAAACACACGATTCCCAGGTTAATAGATTCATAAATCATGATAAAACTATACATATTTAAAGCTGAAGTAATTCCTCATATTAACTGCTAATGATACCAAGTAAAATTGTACATTGGTCTTAGGTGAAGATGCCTCACGAACCATGAAGTTAAGAAAATCATGACAAGCGATAAAAAGTGATGCCAATTACAAGGACTAACTAGACATCAATTGAACACCTCAAAAACTTAAGCATTCAAAAATCTGGATTTTCTTGAGCCGCTGCAGAGAAACAATTCTGATATGCAGAGGCACTAAAATTCCGAAGCTGACAACTACACTTATAGAAGCAAGTCCATTGGCCAAAATTGACAATCAGAAAACATGTTTAGCAAAGAGAAACTTGACCAATACAAACCATGAACAACGAACCTATGTGCAGGAGAAAAATAACAGCGTATAAGAGTGCGCAAGACTTTGTGGCCTTTATAAGTAGTCAATGACAGGTCACGTGGGTTTCTCCTGTTTCTAACATGTTCCGGGTAATCCATCCATCTGTAATCCCAGTCATAACTTCTAGGCCTTGGGGAGCTACATAAAAGAAAGTAGAATTATTAGCAATTCCAATGAGATCTTCTTTGCCAATAAACCTACGATCTGAAAAAAGCTGTCAAATAATTCTCTGTGATGGAGGAGAAAGAAAATCAGCAATGAAAAGTGTTTCCTCAAGACTCAAATGCACTGATTAGTCACGTACTGGAGCATTATTGGATAGAAAAGAACCACTTCAAGCACTAATTACGCCCATGAGGAGAAGAAGAGGAAGATGTGGCGAGGAAAAAGTAGGAAAAGGGGGATGGACAAAACAAAATAAAGAAAAGAAAAAAAGGAGACAAAAGGATCAAGTGAAACATACTAATTAATGTTAGAAGACATTTTCCTTATATCCCAGAGTTTGATAGCCTGATCTTTCCCATTTGAGATAAGATATCGGCCATCTCCACGCGTGTCAATATATGTAATGCCTTCTAGATGTCCAATGAGAACTCCAGCTGCTTGCCCTCTAGTTCCAAAGCAACGCCTGTCCCAAACCTGAATATGATCAAGAGTCCTTCCTCAATCAAACAGATACATACTTGCAAATTCTAAGCAACGAAACAACACTAGTATTTTGGCTGTCCATGAGAATCTCAATGAACCCTCCAATGCTTGATAAAAACAAGCATTTTTTAACTACAAACTATCAGAATCATTAAGGGGTTTAACGCTTATATTAATGGGATTACACCACCATCAGTAAACAGAAATAGAAGTCAAAAGGTTCCATATGACCCATATATCTGAACATTAAAACAGAACAGCATCATGAAATATGCTTTAATAAGCCGCCATTTTGCCAGTCTGGGGTTGGTTAAGTAATATAACGGATGGTCCAGAAAATGGTCACCAGTAATGAACTAAGTCCATCAAATTTGGATAAAACTTACCTTACACAAGCTATCATCGCTTCCAGAATATATGAGGTGTCCAGTTTCATCAGCAAAGCATACAGCATTAACATCAGACTGCAATGAAAATGCCAAGCAAATTACAATATTGTTCCACATCTGTCAGTCCGCTTAGGGGAAAATCAAAGAGCCAGAAAGAGTAAATACATATTGTATTCAGCCTAAGACACCCACTCTGTGACAAGTTCAGTCGACATTTTGGTCAAACTTGTGAATTCAAGTTTTTGAGGAGATTGGCAACTTGAAGAAATTCAGAAACATGGTACGACAAGGTAAAAATTGTTCCACCAAAATAAGTTCTATTCTGATATTCTAGGAACCTCCTTGCTAAAGAAACAATTAACCGTGCATATACTGAGCACAGAAATCAACTCAAATCCACGAATCAGAAATTCCATCATCATGCTCAAATACTAATGTCCTCTTTCAAGAAAGTGATTGGGTGAAACAGCCCCCCGACAGCAAGAACACAGAAAGAAGTGACTATTAATAAGGGGAAATACAACAGGAAAACAATACTCATAGAAAGAATATATATCAGGTTGAATCTAAGAACCAGTTCTCACTTCATTGCAATTAACTTTTGTAGGTTCAACTCCCTCACCAAAGGAAAGGGAAAGGAAATGCTTAACTAGATATAATGCACACATTTGGGGAAGGAAAGCTATATGTAAGAAAGTATTGAATTTAAATCACCTGATGATGGAAACATTTATTCACGATACCTAATTCAGGGGCATACCCAATTTTTGATTTCACAGGAAAATAAACTTAGCAAATACACCACACAGAGATCATACTAAGATGGTTGATTAGCCATATCTGCTACTACCAAAAGAACATATTACGATACCTTATGAGCTGGAATTTGAAGGCTTGGCCTTCTTGCTTCAAGATCATAAACATATATTGAATTGTCGCTGCTGCCAGCAACAAGTTCTCGCCCATCAGTAGAAAATTTCACAGAGAATATTCCAAATGAATAATCGTCATAATCATCGGTAAGGGAAGAAAATTCCAAGCCTTCATGAATTTCCTGCAGAAAAAGAGGAAATACAAGATTAATTAGATACACCAAAGCTCATGAACTATTTGCTCAAAAATTTAGCTGTCTTGATAATGACTTTGAGCCAAGTCAAGATGGATGGCCATATTATCAAGGACCAGATGCCTTCCTTAAATTGAGCTTTCAGACAAATGCAGCCAAATCTCATCTACCCAATTACTAAATCTTTTTGTAAAACAGCTACACATAACCCATCTACAGGAGATCTAAAGAGGACTACTGGGGAGTGGGGTCAGACTTTTATATAACAGCTTCCCATCTATAGAAGATCTACGATTTCCGGGGTCAGCCACCCCGTAGAGCTTCAAAACTATTTTGCTTTTGATCTTATATTTGGAAATCTAGCTAAAAAAATTTAAAGGCACTAGTCAAAAATTTACTAGAAACTGATCTGAAGTGTTGCTGAACTGCAATGTATTAGGTACTGTCATCATGTGGTTGATGATAACCTTCAGCATAAAACCTCTTTTAGAAATAGAGACAAGAATGGGAAGTGCCAAATGAGATATGGATATCTATAATTCCACAACAAAAGGCAAAACCCGTTTGTTGTTTATCCTCCACCCCATCATTGATTTGCATTAGTGCACGCAAAAGAATGAGAAGGGATGATGTAAGAGGGTTCAAAAGTATGCATAACTGAAGTATGAAATTGTAGAATTTCAGTTTCTTGGTGTATATTTTACTTTTTTGGTCTCACAAAATGCAAAAGAAAGTTTAAATTAATACTATCATACTTAAGAGCAACTCTATTACACTACATGATGTCTTTTGATATGGCTATCCATAACCCAAATGGATGCTTGAGGTCATTGATGATTGAAGTACATTATGACAATCATGATACACAACATTTCATACCCAATGAATCCCTTAAATAAGACCTCCGACTGCATGCCCAATGTCAATTACAATGGCACTACTATAAAACGAGGCACAACATAACACCTCTTGCCGAACCAACTAATATAACAAGTTGCACAGGATACATTAAATTGGCACCATCACCTTGATTACCCTAGAAAGAAAGGGGAAACAAATGATGTCTGCATCGCTCGTATAGAAAGATCAGAAATTATACGCTAACACTTCAGATTCTTCATTTGGAAACCACAATACTGGCATACTAATTTCCTCTGTATTTGAAATCTACAATGATTTATTATTAAAAAAGCACGCATGAGTACCCAAAACTGACTTTTATGATGTTAGAAGGTGATAGAATAGTGCAGCAAAGATGCAGGATATGTTGTCACATAATAGTTTTCTATCTTTTACATGTTTCGACATAACAGGTAAAACATACCGTAACATTTGCAACAGACTGTTTCATACCAGATCCAACATCAACAATATGGACAATGGGTGAAATACTGGAATAAACCTGTAATCAACAAATAAAAACCAACTCAGAAGGAGTGACAGCAGAAAACCACGGTGGATTAGATGTTGTGTTAATCAAATTCAAAAAGTTATAGCTGCATCACATATTAAGAGCTTGCGATAATGTCAGACCGAAAATATTTTCCATGATATAACAAGAAACACAAAGCTATTCTCAAAGTCACAGAATCTGTTGAAACAAAAAGAAATAAAGTAGCCAGATTTTATGATAATCATAGGAACAAACCAAACCCCAGTTGTGATTACACGGACAAGGACTAATTATGCACAAAATTGTGTTAGTCTTTACGAACTTACAAGAAAACGTTGATCTGGTGAAAGCGACGTATCAGTGATTGTCCATCGTAAACTTCTTGCTCTAATATCCTTTTGGATTTTCCAGCTTCGATCTACATTATATATCCTAATATGACTTTCCTGTTTCCAGGAAGAAAGACAATAAGATCATAACTGACAGTGGACATAAAACATAGGTAAGATCTCTCTATACTTTCTGGAAATAGAAAATTCAGCTAGATAGACCAAAACCTGAAATCCCGCGACAAAAAGAGAACCATCCGCTGAAAACTGTGAAACATAAGCACAGCTCCTCAATTGATCAACTACAGAAGGACCATTTGTTGGAAGATACCGGCTCAAAAGATGACAACAGTCTGCTGATGAAAATCTTCCTCTACCACTATAATTCCCTTCCCTGGCAGCCAACATATTAACAGGTGAAAATGGTGCTTTTCTCTTGCCAGGAAGCAGCTGTCGCATTCGCCCGTGTGGGTCCGACCTAATCTTTGTGAGTTGGGCAATTTCATGATCAAGACAACTTGTTCCCTCATCAACTCTTTGATCAATATTTAGTATCCCATCTCCCCTTGCACTTTCACAAGCATCCAATAACCTCCTAGACCTGCTCATGGTCTATCTTTTGTCACTTTCCTCCAAAGTGCATAGAGTACCTAACCATGCTACACCAAACTACTGCAACAACAACAATAACAACAACAACTAAGCCTCAGTCTCAAACAAGTCGGGGTCAGAGGATCAGATATATGAATCCGTTACTACATATAAACTCATCTCAGGCCAATATTATGCTGCACAAAACTGAAGAATAAAATTTTAATTAAGAGGTATTGTACCAATTTCAAAAGACTTAAGTCTAAGACTATTCCAGAAAACATCACTGAAATATCAATATTCAAATTACATGTCCTACTAGAGTAACTTCATAAAAAGAGGAAAAGGGGTTGGAATTGACACAAATAGATAACAGATGAAGACACCCACCAAAGCACTAGCTATCAAAATAAACTGAGCAAGCTGAACAAAACCTTTAATTAACTCCAAACACCAAAAAGATTGGAACTTTTTAAACAGAACATAGAGAAACAATTGACAGTTATACTCACCAACTGAATTCACATGTGAAAAGAAAAGAGAAAGATCAAAACTTTGATAGTACCTTAGAATTGAGAAGAATGCGGACAATCCAAGAAAATTACTCAAGAAAGTAATCTGGGAGGAGTTGACTGAATATAAGTTTGGATTTTATTAGACAATTTTGAAGAAATGTTTGAGAAAAAGATAAAGGGAAGGGAGAATCTTTGACGGTTGTGTAGGATATACGTGGAGGTACAAGGTCTACTCCTGGAAGTTAATAAACCCGCAACACCAATTTGAGACTTTTTGCTATTGCTGGTTTTTTTTTGGTAACTGGAATGTCTATCTTTTGGCTTTCCCAACAGCTTGTTTGGATGGTTGTTATTTGTTGTATTGTATCGTATTGTATCGTATTTGTGACGATCCGATCGGTCATTTTGAGCTCTAGCGCATCGTTCGGCGGTTTGAGAGGTATTAGGACTTGTACGCGTGGTCCGAACTGAAATTTCGGAAGTTCAGAGTTGATTTGGAAAGAAAATTTTCATTTCGGAAGCTTTAAGTTGGAAGAATTGACTAAGGTTGGATTTTTGAGTAAACGACCTCAGAATCGGGATTTGAAGGTTCCAGCAGGTTCGTATGATGATTTCGGACTTAGACGTATGTTCAAATCGGGGTTTGGATGACCCGGGAGCATTTCGACGTCTATTGTGGAAGTTGGCATTTTGGAAGAAACTTATAAATTTGGGTTGAATTGCATTTCAATGTTATCGATGTCGTTTGGGATTCCGAGTTTGGGAATAGCTCTGTATGGTGATTCTAGTATTGGGAGCGCGTCCGGATGTGGATTTGGAGGTTCGTAGGTCATTTCGAAGTCGTTTGTCAGAAGTTAGAAATTTGAAGGTTTTTGAAAAGTTTGACCGGAAGTGGACTTTTTGATATCGGGGTCGGATTCCGATTGCGGAAGTTGGAGTAGGTCCATAATGTCGAATGTGACTTTTGTGCAAAATTTGAGGTCAATCGGACGTGATTTGATAGGTTTCGGCATCGAATGTAGAAGTTTGAAATTCTAAAGTTCATTAAGCTTGAATTGGAGTGTGATTCATGGTTTTAGCGTTGTTTGATGTGATTTGAGGCCTCGAGCAGGTCCGTGTTATGTTATGGGACTGGTTTGTGTGATTGGACGGGGTCCCGGGGCCTCGGGCGTGTTTTGGGGGTGTTTCCAAACCAAATTGGGTGATTTGTTGCTGCTATTGCTACATCTGGTTTCCTCCTTCACGAACGCGAAGGGAGTCCCGCGTTCGCGAAGAGGAACTTTGAGGCGGTTGGGATTTGGCCTTCGGGAACGCAAGGCAGTGGACGCGAACGCGAGGCAGCGAACGCGAACGCGAGGCAGGAGCTGAGTAAGCCTTCGCTAACGCGGCCAAGGATACACGAACGCGAAGAGGGAAGGAGGCCTGGGGGACCTGGAGCCATTGGCCTTCGCGAACGCGAAGCTCCAACCGCGAACGCGAAGTAGGGGAGACTGAGAGCCTTCGCGAACGCGAGGCTATGATCGCGAACGCGAAGAAGGGCAGTGCTGGGCAGTGTTATTTTAAAGACGGGATTTTGCCATTTTTCCTCCATTTTTCAATTGGTTGGGCGATTTTTGGAGCTCTTGGAAGGGAGATTTTCGTCATCTATGTCAAGGTAAGTGATTCCCACCTATTGCAAGTTAAAATACATGGTTTGTCTAAGGATTTGAATATGGAAAATTGTAGAAATTGTGGGGTTTTGGTAGAAACCTAGAAAATTGGTATTTTTGGATTTTGACCACGAATTTGGGAATGAAATTGAGAATAAATCATATATTTGAGTTCTTGGGGTTATGGATAAAGTTTATCTTCGAAAATTTTTGGAATCCGGGCACGTGGGCCCGAGGGTGATTTTTATCGACTTTTCAAGCGAAGTTGGGAATTTGTTTAAATCCAATTGTTATAAGTATTAGAGTATATTTTTATTGATTTGCCCATTATTTGGCTAGTTTTGGAGCGTTGGGCATCGATTTAAGGTGTTAGAGTAGCGTTGGAGCCGGTCATGTAACTTCGGAGCGAGGTAAGTCTCCTTTCTAACCTTGTAAGCTGGAATTAACCACATAGGTGAACTAAATTATTGTGTGCTTCTATTTGTGGTGGCTACATACGCACGAGGTGACGAGAGCCCGTACGTAGCTACTAGCTATGCCTATGTCCGGGTAGTTTTTAGGACTACATCATGCCTTATTGATATTGTTATTGATTTATGTTTATTGTTTGCCTTGAGAGGGAGCGAGATTGAGTTCGCTTATTAAATATTTTGAAAGGAGCTGAAATTGAAGAATTTAAGATTTGGAAGGTTTCGTTTGAACTTCGTAATTTCGAAAGGAATTGAGGAATATCATAATAGCTTAAGAAATTTATGTGTAACCGCGTCACATGTATGCTTCGCGAGCGCGGTAATTTCCTTAAAAAGCTAGAAGCTGAATTTCCCTTATTTTGAAAAGAATCAAGAAAGAGATATGATTTTAATGTTAAATTTATATTTGACCGCGTCGCAAGTATGATCCGCGAGCGGGGTGATTCCTTAAATTAATATTTGACCGCATCGCATGTATGATTCGCGAGCGGGGTAGTTCCTTCTACTTCTCTTATGGGATCGGGCCGTTCGCCTCAGCAGGTTAATAGATGCATTTATGGTTCGCGCCGTTCGACACTCGGTAGTGCACAATTTACTTTTATGTTGGATTGGACCGTACACCTCGGCATTTCCTATATATATATATCCACATGGAATCGTGCGTAATATTTCGCTAGAAGCCAGTGTATCTGAGGGTTTTTCCCCTTCTTTGATTTATGAAAACCTCTTTGATGAAATCCACTATATCTATGTATATGCTCCGATTACGGAGGGAACTTGCTAGTTGAGAGCTAAGTAAATTATAAAGAGGGGCATTGTACCACATATTTTATACTTGTTTCTTTCATATATTTACTCTGTCTCATATTTATTCACTTCTTTACTGTACCTGATATTATTGGACCACTAGTAAGTGTCGAAGTCGACCCCTCGTCACTACTTAACTTCTTCAAGGTTAGAATGGATAGTTACTGGGTACGCGTTATTTTCGTACTCATACTACACTTGTTGTACATTTTTGTTGTACAGGCACATGTATGTCTTGTGGCCTAGTGGGCGCGGCGGCATGGTTGATACAGAGACTTAGGTGAGCTGCATCCTATGAGCCGATCCGTAGCCAGCAGGGTCTCCTTCAGAGTATTTGTATTTTGTTTTCTATCCAATTTTTAGTCTGGACAGTTATTGTATTTCATTTTATTTCCTAGTAATTGCTCATGCACTTGTGACACCGGGTTCTGGGATAATTATGGAATATTCAGTATTGCAATTGTAAACATTTTTATTTATTCTGTAAAGATTATCTTTTACTAGCTACATTGAAGGAAAGTTACGATTTCAGAAATATTAAAAATGAGAATTTAATTAACTATTTAGTGTTGGCTAGCCTGACAACGGTGTCCTATGCCATCACGACCTTTATTGGATTTTGGGTCGTGACAACATGGTATCAGAGCACTAGGTTCCCTTAGGTCTCACGAGCCATGAGCGAGTCTAGTAGAGTCTCGCGGATCAGTAGACGTCTGTACTTATCTTCGAGTGGCTACAGGGCTGTTAGGAGCACTTCCCTTCTTGATTCTCATCGTGCGATTTCATTCCTTTAAGGCTTATGCCTTCATTTCCTTCCCATTCAACATTATACGACGTGAAGCGCTGGTTATAAATCGGGAAATGAGGAATTGTAATGGTACTACAGTTGTGGTGCGGGATGTTTCTCCTTGCGTAGTTGATTGGGCTGTTGTCGTCGCCTTGCGGAAGGATATTCTGTCATTTCAGCTCAGTAGTTGTGCTTCTGAGAGCTTTGAGGCTATGTACAGGTTGTTATGATGCTCAGGAGTTGTTATCGCACAGTATTGATGTGATGGTAAGATGCTTGCCTATGTGTCGGGGTAGTGAATGACTTTAGAGGAGGTTTGCTCAGTGCATGATTTAGAGATTCGGTATTTTATTTCCGGCGGAGGAAAAGGCAATCGGACTACAAATGTTCAGGTTTGGGTTGATGAAGAACGAGACTTGGTATTTTCGAGCGTGGTAGAATTTTCATCTGTGATGCGGTGTCATAGTCCTTGTTGAATATGTTAAGTTCGCCGGTGTTATGGTTTTCTTCAATTCGCCTTTAGGGCAGAGTATTGTGAAGTAGTACCGGGAAAGCGGCTGTCAGAGATCGCGGTGTGCGGTGGTTCAGGAACGAATCGGTGTTCCTAGTGTTGATGTTCAAGAGAGATGATCTTTGGAAAGGTTAAGGTTGGTTGCGATCTATTGGTCCAAGTGCTACAGAGATAGATTTTGATTTAAGGCAACAACTGGGCAGCGAAGGATGAGGAAGGACATGTGGGAAGTGTCATGCGGTAGTTAAATTCCTGGGAGGCCAGGTGTAAGAAGCAGAAGTCGAGTAGTTGCTTAAGGGAGAGTTTGACCAAAGTGGGAGAGTGGCATAGTAGCATATGGGTTCTGTGGTAGGATGACTACACGCCTTGAGATGAGGTTAGAGTGATTTGGAATTCATGGTGGACAGTGACTAGGTCTATGGACTTAATTTGGAATATTGGCTATTATACGGAAGAGGTTGGATATGACACAAAAGAGTTGCTTGATATGAAGAAGGGTACAACATGACTTTGGATTGAAATGTATTGTCGCACCTTTTAGTTGATGTCTATGAGAAGTGAACGGACTCGTGCGACTGGCGAATGAGCACGGGTTCAGGATGGTTTACTGATTTTGTAGCAATTGTACCCAGTGCAGCGACGAAGGAAGAATCTTGGTGGGTTCCAGGTTTATGCAATGGTAGCTTCAAGTTAAGTGGGAGAGTCCCACCGCCTACGCTTGGATTGTATGGCTATCTACTTGTGAGGTTTCTGGTGATCGGCATATTGATGGGTTATTACGACTAAAGAAAGAGAACATCAGTGGCGATTTGAGCAGAGGATTTGAGGAATGTGTGCTATAATTGGCCTTATTAATTCATGTTCAGGCTTTGGGAAGGTTCAGGATTTATGCTTCATGTAGAGGTGATTTACAAGGAAAGTGATCCAGCCGAGTGCTTCTTTGAGAGGGTGTTCGTGTTCTAGAAGAGCCTTGGAGTTTGATTATATTCGGGACCAAGTTAGAGTGGGTGACTCTCAACAACGGTCCTAGTGGATCCAAAAGTTGAAG